TTTGTTATTTTGGTAATCAGAATATTATTTCATGATTAGTAAACCATACTAAGAGTTAATTTTATGTTTTATGAGAATATTTTATTAATTTTATGTTTTATGAGAGTTAATTACAAGTGTCTTTTTGGGTTCGTTTTGTTTATGTTGAGACTGTTGTGAGATGTTTAAGTTTGATAAACATTTTATTTTTAGAACTGATTTCTAGTAGGAATCCTACTTTCTAGTCAACTACATTTAATTAAAGTATTTGAACTAGTTACCTCAAGTTTATGTATGTAATAAAGGAATAAACGGAACATTAGTAAATTATTGCTAAGTACTAACTAACTGGGTGATTGCCAACAATAATAAACCTTGTGTCAATGAAAATTTTGTTTTATTTAGAAGATGAATTCATTTAGGTTAGGTACCTACTTACTATTCCTCCGTAAACTAACTTTATTATACTAAATTTGCTAACTTAGGTTAATCCCGGAAATATCGAAAATACCGGGATATCGGTATTGGTCTGGGGCCATTACCGAAAATACCGGTTTTGGTCAAATGATTCGGTATTGCGACCCCTAATAGTATTAAAGTCAAGTCAAAGTCAAAGTCAAAATCATTTATTTCAATTAGGCCAGAATGGCACTTTTGACCGTCAATAAAAACAAAAATTTAAAGTGAAGCTATTTGCTTATTCCAAGGCGTAGATTCCTATGGAGAAGAACGAGCAAGAAACACAATAATATTTTGTCTTCGTCCGAGTCGGAAACTCAAAACTTAAACTGAGGGTCACTGATCTCTTAGATACAATTAATATTCATCAAGAGAAACACTTAATAACAATGTCATGTGACTGGGAATTTTGAACCCAAATAAATATGGTTAAGGGTCATTCATGAACTTACGAAACAAATTTGATAGATACAAGCAGCAGTGCTGGTTCTTCTCAATTCGAAACTACACTTTGAAACGAGCACTTAGCTTCACTGACAATTCAATTAGACGTTTTAAAAGTGTCTATGTAATTGAGGATTAATTCAGATATAATTATGCTATAACTTTAAGTGTGGGAGAGCCAAGCTTCGGCACAAACGGGGCGGCTAGACCGGTGTGATACCACAGCCTCACAGAAAACTAACTTGAAATAACACTTGCGTCGTGTTTTGTCGTGTGTGTAGAACCACCGGAGGCCCAATTCTCCCCTCTTCCCCAATCTTCTCAACCCCTTAATCCCTAATAATCCTCAAATTCCTAATCCCCAAAAGGCCGGTAACCCACTTGTAACGTCTCTGGTGTTCGCTATGAGCGGCGCCGATTGCTTACAGGTGATCCGTCTGCACGTTTACCGGCTTATCTCATGAAAAGATATCTAATTAATATTCTTTAAGAGAAACACATGTCATCTGTCTGGGAATTTTGAGCCTAATTAAAATATGGCTAAGGGCCATTCATGAACTTACGGCACACGTTTGGGCATCCACATTCTGATAAACCTGAACTTCTTAAACGATTTATAGCCCTGCCTGATGAAGGTGAAGAATATAGCAAACCTTCTCTTATTTAGAGGAGGCACATAATCAGCAGTAGACTGACCAGATATGTAATTTTCTTTGACACTTGAAACTTTAAGATCGGATTAATATTAAAACATTGAAATTTCGAGACGTCTGAGTCAGAATTGAATATCGGAATAATGTACACCAATAAAAAAAGATCATAAACGTTTTAAAGAGCTAACAAATATTTTGACCTGATCTAATTTGGGTCAAAATTATCATAACACTACATAATTAGTATTCATAAATGATGAGGTACAATGTAGATAAATGTACAGAAGTTGAAATAGTAATAATTGCTAAAGTGATTATATCAAATTTGTATGCTCATAACTCTTGAACGATTACACTGAATTGGAAATACGTAGCGTAACCTCAAAGATCGATCAATTTTAATTAAGACTTAGTTCTAATCATCGTTAACAGCCTGTAAGTGCCCACTACCTGCAAAGCCTCTTCTCATACGGATAAGGTTTGAACATTAATCACTACACATGCTCATTGCAGTTTGGCGATTTCAAACGTATAATTAGAAATTATAAGCCCAAGTTTTCTCACGATGTTTTCCTTTACCGTTTCTGAGTGATGTCTAAATATTCTCAGAAAGTACATTATAACTCGAAAAAAGTCACATTGGTACTTGCAGTTGGTAGTTTTAATCGTATTATATTATGAATTAGTAACTTCCTCGGATATTTAATTTAAGTTGTACCTGCATTAAGTTTAAGTCTAGCTTCTACATTAAATGCTCAAAGTGCAGGTCCTGTCATACCTACACATGTTCGAGGGGGACTGGGATGCCGTCTCCTTCTTTTGCGAAGCAGTCATGCTAGCTAAGGAGGAGGCGGGACGCGTGAGGCAGCGAAGCGCTGCCTCCTCGCAACCCAGCCATCGCGAAGGACACATCGGGCGTCGGGGATCGCGAGATGATCTCCGGCTACCGTAAGGTCGGACGGGGAGCCACCCATGCTCGCCGTCCGACCAGAAACAGACCCGAGCGTACGGCGCGTCGCGTTCCGCGCACGCCTCAAAGAGCCATCAGACCACCACAGATGGGGCCCAATAGGGCCGGCTCGACGTGCAGGAGAAGGAACGGGGTGGTTTTTAGTCAGTAAGAGTCTGACACTCCCTTTCGCCTCACCTTGGCGGGAGCAGTCATTCGATGATTTTACCCCCTAAAAAAAATACCTACACATGTTTCAGATATAGACGTATTCCTCTGTATTTGAAATGGTTCCAAGATAACTATTATAACTAATAGTGAACTTTAGCTTAACACTGAATTTAACCAATCTGGAAAAACCTTTAGCATTTTATAACAGAATGGATTTTCGGATGACGTCCTCTATAGTATAGTTTAGGATGATTAATGCGCACTCGATTAGTAGAACCTAATCGCTGATAAACAAGCTATTTGCTCCATTATAGTGGAAATTAATTCAGATGGGAATCTACAAAGATTCGTTTAATATTAGACATTGACTTTTCTGTACTCTACCTCTTCAGAGGTAACACACATTTTAATGGTCCACCGTGGTACAATTTACTATTTTCTTTTAGACCCTGGAATACAGGAAAATCGCCGACAGGGAAAGATAAAAAAATAGTTTCATTTTTTTAAACATTAACACCACACCCTTTATCCCCGAAGGGGTAGGCAGAGGTGCACATTACGGCACTTAATGCCACTGTACAATATAACACCCACTTTTCACTATTCATATTATGAGTCCCATGTAATAGGGGGTGAGCTTATTGCCATATACCAGGCACATTTCCAAACTCCGTGCTACTACTGAGATTTTTAAAAACCCAGTAATACTTTGCCCGACCCGGGAATCGAACCCGATCCCTCTTAACCAGCAGTCGCACTTGCGCCCACTCGGCCAACGAGACAGGCATTTTTATTAAACATTTCTTTTATTTAATGATAGTTGTAATCAACTGCTCAAGGCATGAATGCATGAATAATACGAAAACAAAAACAATTAAATAGATGGTTCTTGGGCTTGTTGTGGCTGCGTGTATGACGGTCAATTATAATAAACTTAATTTGTTTAACATTGCTTGTGTGACATTCATAATTGATGATTACCTTTTTACATAATATATTTAATTTGACATTACATTTTTGACTTCAATGGTATTAATAATTTTAATTTATTTGACATACTGTATTCAATTTAACAAAACTACAATTAATTAAACTTAATGTACCTAATTTTATTATATAATTTTTTTACAACATATCTTTGCATGCCAAGTGATGGCAAAATATGGAGAAACTATATATTTTGTTAATACCTATATTATGTACCCATGTTTGCAAACGATTAAATGAATTTGAATTAAAATGGTACAAACAATTTCTTTTTGTCAGTGTTCCATTACACCATGTTGGTTTTATCATTACCGACAAATGTGCTTATAAATAACCGCTTTATCACTGTATCTACTGAAATAAATATTTTCATCATAATTATGTAAATGATGAAACATACTATTCATAGATATCCATCATTTTCCTGTAATTTTGGACTATTATTTTCATGTTATTTGATGGAGTATATGAAATGAACTTGTCGTAAATTGGAGATCAAAAGGTCACTAGGTAATGTCAGTCTAGTTTAAAGCCGCAGGAGCCGCCGATTCGACAACTCCTGAAGATGCTCCGTGGGGGAGCGGAACATATATGTCGAAAAGCTACTTCCGCGCGGTTTCACACGCTCTGCTCAGCTCCTATTGGTCGTAGCGTGACGTTTTATAGCCTATAGCCTTCCTCGATAAATGCGCTATCCAGCACAAAAATAATTATTCAAATCGGACTTGCAGTTCCGAAGATTAGCGCGTTCAAACAAACAAACAAAAAAACACACTCTTCAGCTTTATAATATTAGTATAGATTGTGGGTCGAGTGGTTGGTTGTGTGGGTTTTGTGTTACATCTCTGCTACATGAGCGTTTAGCCCGCAGGGTAGGACGGTGCTGTACACTGCATGCTGCAAATTGATTCCTTTATCGGAATAAACCTAGATATTTTCCCAGTTGTTAGTAATTCAATTAGGTTTGTCATACAAGTACCTAATTATGACTAACCAGATTCTGTAATCGTCAACATCAAGAGTAACTGCCTGTTACAATCCACTGTTGGAAAATAGATCTCATGTCCATTGCTCAAAATATATACTCTATTGTTGCGGGAGTACATGAGCAGCGCATATTGCCTATGAGCGATAATGATGGGCAGATGGTTATCCATCTGCTCATTTATCGCCCTATCTATAGCATAAAAAAGGTTCAGGTTTATAGAGAGCGCTGCTGTCCAGTCATTATTAAATAATATCTAGTCTCATAGTCAGTTCTTACGACATCTGCTGTATGACGACCAATTGCCTCTGTAACAAGTTCTTCTGTAATCTCATTTTTGTAATAATTCATTGCTTTTTTTCTTTCCAGAACAATGTCGCAGATGTTCAGGCTGGTGGTGGTGGCCGCCTGCCTCCTCATCGGTCAAGCACGAGCCGCCACTTACGGTCCGCGCGCCGACTATGGATACCCAGCTGGTCTTATACCTGATTGTAAGTATTTCATTGTCATAAGGTTTTTTTTTAAGGGAGGAAAATCATCGAATGACTGCTCCTGCCTGGGTGAGGCGGGAGGGAGTGTCAGACTCTTACTGACTAAAAACCACCCCGTTCCTTCTCCTGCACGTCGAGCCGGAGCCCCGGTAACCAGTTAGGTTTTCCGCGACTCCAAATCGTCATCAGCCCTGTTGGGCCCCATTCGTGGTGGTCTGATGGCTCTCTAAGGCGTCTAAGGGCATTAATTCTATTTTGGTATGCTTTATTGACTACCTATTTTATCAACCTATTAAGGGTTGATAGGGGTCGGTGTTTGGCAACTATCTTGCCTTCCAACAGTGATGAAGCATGTCTATCCATATGCAACCTATTCAGTCGGACCTTGACGGCACCCAGGTTATTCAGGAAACACAGACTGGCGAAGAATTCCACACCTTATGCTGGACCATTATTTACTGAAAATCGTATTATAATATATGTCTAACAAGGAATATTAACTTTGTAAACCATGTATGATGAGTTAGTCGTGGTGGCCCGGGTTTACGACGCCCGCTTCTCATGCCTAAGAATGCGGGTTTGAAACGAACCAATGGCAACTACCAATGTGACTTTTTTCGAGCTATATGTACTTTCTAAGATTATTTAGACAAACCATTGAGAGGAAACCTAAGCTAATAATTTGTAATTATAAATTTGAAAATACTAACTCGAATTAAACAAGCGTGGCTATTAAAAATCAAACCATCTCCGTGCGAGAAGAGGCCTTTGGTCAGCAGTGGCCACTTGTAGGTTGAAACTGTGTACACATGTATGTGTGTCCAACTTAAAGTCCTTTAACTAACTTAACAGTAGCTGTAACACCCACTTAATTACTTATACAAAATCGCAAACATGTTACAACTTATATAAACTAATAAGTAACAAATGAAGAAGTCACTTCTCGAGTTTAGTGCAAATAAATGCATCCATAATATTATTATTTACTTACCTCATAATGCCTGCCTCATTGGCCGAGTGGTCGCAAGTGCGACTGCCGGGCAAGGGGTTTCAAAGGGGGGACAAAGTATTTAGGGGGTTTTAAAAAAATTAGAGTTGTAGCAACGGACGTCTGGAAATGTGCCCGGTATATGGCAATAGGCTCACCCCCTATTACATGGAACTCATAACATAAATAGTGAAAAGTGGGTGTTATATTGCACAGTGACATTAAGTGCTGTAATGTGCACCTCCGCCTACATATAATAACCTATTTGCCAATATATAAAAGGCGTGATCTTATGTTATGTTTGCTCATAATGTAATATGTATTTGCGAATCAGTTTTGCATATTGTAAGTGTATTGAGACTATGTAGTATTATTATGTATTTCCTGGTTGACAGCGCACTTTGAACTATATTATTTAAAAGAAATAATACTTTGTTCCAAGCAATTCATATGACATCAGTGTTGCAAGTTCGTTTGTGCATTTTGTGTAGGTATCTATTGAATTTGTTTACAAAGTAATTTTATATTATTTGTTTATTTAACAACTTTGAAATGTGTGAATCTGACAGCTAATAACATTACATGTGTAACAAAACCGCACAAATATCTCGTTTTTAGTTCCTAAAGAGATTTAATTACATCTAATACACTGTACCGACCTTTTTCAATAGGGTAGTTTCCTAAATTTATTTTTAATGTCCGTCTGGTACATTAATTTAAAACTTTAGACACGTGGTTTTTCTTTTCTCACAAAATTAAATACTTTCGACAATAGGTACGTATATTAATTTGAAATATCGTGTGACGTCACAGCGTGCCATATTTTGTCGCACGTTATGACGTAACGACCTCCCACTCCTAAACTTAGCGCCATTTTATATAAGTAGTGCAACTTAATACGAAAAAATAAAAAATACGTGTCTAATATTTGTTCATTATCTAACTGACGGACTAATTAGATTTTTAATTATGGTACCCTGGAAACTACCTAATTATGGTAAATGGCGACGAGTCCTACTTCCAAGATTTTTTACTAATTTCACAATATTCGAGTCGTAACTGGTTTAAGGAGCGAGTTTTAAATGTGGATAGAGAAGTATTTTTTAACACGTTGCCCTCACACTAGGATTTTCGCATGTGTCGTGGGTACGTTTACAAATATACAAGTTCACATACCCAGACACGGAACATCAATTTGTGGATCAAACAAAGAGTTGTTCCGTGCGGAATTCCAGCTTGCGATACGTTGCGCGGCAGGCGGTTGCCTAGCCACTGCACCAACCGTGCCGTCGTCGTTTTAAGGAAGGTTTACGAATTTTCTTTTAGGATTACGATTACGATTTAGTTGAAGATGGTATTACCATTTGTCCATAGTCATTCTATAGGTAAAGCTAGAGATCTATGCTACAAAACATACAATTCTTAAATAATTCAGCTAATTGTAATGTAATTTTAAATGTGCGAGAGCCATGCTTCAGCACGAATAGGCCGGCTCGACCGGAGTGATACCACGGCTGAGCAGACAACCGACTTAAAGCAACACTTGAGTTGTATTTCGTCGTGTGAGTGAGGTTACCAGAGGCCCAATTACCTCCCTCCCCTTTCCCAATCTCCTCAATCCCTGAATCCACAACGATCCTCAAACTCTTAATCCCCAAAAGACCGGTAACGCACTTGTAACGCCTCTGGTGTTCCAGGTGTCCATGGGTGACGCCGATTGCTTCCCACCAGGGGATCCATCTGCTCGTTTACCGGCTTAGGCAATAAAAAGTTTGTAATGTATTTTAAAAATTTCGGCACATTTTTAACCTGAAACACAGGCTTGTACCTAGTTCAGGTTTTATATACTTTTATACTTCATTTAGGTAATAAGATCTATTTTGTAATATGGCTTTTTATACCAAATAAGCATCAGTATAAACGAAGTCATACATAGCTATGTACTAAGATATACCGTAATCAAAGATTGCAATGTAGGCTACATTTAAGTGCATAACTGGTAATTGATTAATCAATAATTGGTGTCAGTCTATCATTAGGATCTACCACTTAGTATGGGCCTAGGTTAACCGGTTAATCCATGTATATCAAGGTTATAAAGTACGTAATAGTATCACGTCAAACTATACAAACCAGTATAAATTGACCGTCGAGCGTTCGGAAAGGTCATACAAAGATATACCACGATAAATTGGTTTTAATATCCAGTATAATCTGACCGTTGAGTGGCCGAATTGATCACACACAATGAGATCATGATAAATTGGTTTTGTATAGGTCAATCTGTTGCTGTGTATACTAGTGCATACGGTCACGGCTCGCTACTTTGTTGTACTTAGGTTCATGTTCTATGTCAGTGACAGATGGTCTTGCATTACATACATAACTTCACGCCTAATCCCTGAAGGAATAGGCAGAGGTGCATCTGCACATACGGCACCTAATGCCACTGTACAAATACATTGTAATTTATATTATGACTCCCATGTAATAGGGGGTGAGCCTATTGCCATATACCGGGCACATTTCTAGACCCTGTGCAACTACTGAGATTTTTTGTTGAGGTAATTGGGCCTTCGGTAACCTCACTCCCCGTCGTTGCTTCACGTCGGTTTTCTGTAAGGCCGTGGTATCGCTTCGGTCGAGCCGACCCATTCGTGCCGAAGCATGGCTCTCCCACACCTGAATTGCGTACATAATGAGCACCTCTGTTTATGCTTTCAGGGATTAAAAGGCTTAATCTTTTAAATAAATTACACAGTCATGCAAAAATAACAGGTTAAAATTCACACAATCATAAGTAAGTTTGAAAAAAAAACAATAGAAAAGCGAGCAAACAATTGTACCTGGAACAGTATAGTAGGCGTAGCTTATTATACAATTATACCAGTTTTAAATACCAGGTACTAAGTAGTTTTACTAGTTTTTCCTGATTGAACACCGGTCAAAGGTTAATTCTAATGTAACTATTGTTACATCTGTATTTATTAGAAAAGAATACATTCTTGCTAAGATTTATGATTTATATTTAATACTAGCTTTTACCCGCGGGTTCGCTCGCGTCACAAAAGGATAAAAAGCCAATGTGACATATACCAATACACACAGCGCCATCTATACCAATACTTATGTTTTCCCGCGGGAATATCATTTTTTCCGGGATATAAAGTACCCTATTATTTAATCCGGACTTCAAACTTTACGTCCGCAAAATTTCAAAGCAATCGGTTAACAAACAAACAAAATCACTTTCCGATTTATAATATTAGTAAGGACTAGTAAGGATTCTGATAGAAATTTTGGTAGACTAAAAATTATTATTATGTTTTTCGGTACTTACTCATATAACTGTTTGACGAGGAACTCGACTAGTTTGTTTGAAGCTATTCTAGAGGCTTAGCACTTCATGACACACGAGGCTGCGACACGTATGTCCCACGAAGGCTATAATGCAAATAGAATAGAAACAGTACATTTGGTCCACATTTATTCTTACTTTGGGTGTTGTGACAATTGATTAAGGAAGGAGTTTTTTTTGTAGCGAGAAAATCATGCAACGTCTTGAGTAAGGCGAAAGGGAGTGTCAGACTCTTACTGACTAAGAACCACCCGGTTCCTACTTCTGCTGTTCGAGCTAAAGCCATTACTAAATGTAAATATGTATGTATTGAAGTTGTCTAAAGGGCCTCTGCGCAGTTGGCTTCGGCCCCTCGTACGCATCCTAAATGACCGGGACCCTGCGGTCCCATGAATGGTAGGGACATACATAGTAATATGTGTCCATTACATTTATATTAAAGTTGTCTAAAGGGCCTCTGCGCAGTTGGCTTCGGCCCCTCGTACGCCTCCTAAATGACCGGGACCCTGTGGTCCCGTGAATGGTAAAGACATACATAATAATAATAATAGTTTATTTACCACCAATACATAGATATAAATACATGATGATAGAGACTGAGAAGCGGCGTTCTTTGCTGAAACTGAACTTTTTAATTTGCAATCTGAAAACCAACCGCACATTATATTGTATTATGTATAGCAAATCTACTTATGTTGAGGATAATCATAGTCCTGCAGTGGACTAATCTTGGTGGTGATTAATGTATTCTACTACGCAAACTGGTTAATAAAACATTATGGATTTAACAATTTCAATTTTTTATTATCTTAAGTCTAAAGGTTTCCCTTTATCTCCAGGTCCCGGCACCCACAAGAACGCCAGCATCAGTGCTCGCCATATGAACAACCTCCAGATTGCCATACACCGCATCTCCAGCAGTGGACAGGTCGTGAGGAGGACCCTACCCCTTGAGAATGCACCTAAAGTCATTGCAAGGGATAAAAATATAGGTAAGTTGAAAGTTGAGATATTGTTTCTTCTAACTTGTTAATTTTTCTCCATCAGGTAGTTGAGTTTAAACCAAATTTTAAATACACGTCGGTATTTTACGTGGAATTATTGCCATCTGCTTTTCATAGTCTTCTAAAGGGATTTTTTCTTAAGTGGGAACGTCATCATCATCAAATGACTCCTCTCGCTTGGGTGAGGCGAGAGGGAGTGTCAGACTAAAAACTAAACTAAAGTTATTAACTAAAAACCATTCCGTTTATACTTCTACTTTCTTGGTTAGACCTATTGTCAGATTTTTTGGTATATAAATGTTCGTGTGATATTCGGGACCGCAATAATGAGTTACCAATAGTTGAGTTAATAATACCTACACCGCCGTTTTCTCGTGCCGTGTTCAAGATTTAAATATTTTTTTTATATACGACGTTTAAAAAACGACTTCATATCCCTCTTTTTTTGAGGTCAGTTTCTGAATATATTACACTAAAAATCTTCTCCTAAGTGTAACACACACTTTTCCGAAAACCGCATCAAAATGGATTCAGTCAATCTCGGGATAATTGCGAACAAACATAATTATTGAATATACATTCAGACGCAACTGAGAATTGCTTTTTTTAAGTTGGTTAGAAAACTATTTGCTCTACTTAAATCATACTGTGTATAAAAAACATTATTTTTTCAGTTCCTGTAGCGTTCCGCAGATTATTTAATGGTGGGATTATTAACTTAATTATGCTGCACATAAAGTAGTTATTAGCAAAAAGTAAACACTACTTTGACTACTCCGTCATGTTCATCTGCTGATGCCCAACCTTTGGACAGAATTAACTACTATTAAAACAAGTACCCATTTATTAAAAACTTAATTGTGTAAAATTACTCTTCTTACAAAGGCATAAAGACTAATGTTGTTATTTTGTCGCGAAACCGGTAGCTCTCTATTCTTTTTTAATAACATATCTGACATTTGATGTCTTCTTCATTAATTTAATTGTTCAATAATTTGTATAAAACAATTATATAAATGATTGTGCAGTAATTTGCAACACAAAACAAGTTAGAGTATAAAGATGTACACCATCCCGGCATTTTAGTTTGACAGTCCCGGAACCCGGGATTGTAACTGTCAAATTCATTTTTTTCAGTATTATGCACTTGATTTGAACTAGTTTCGTTTTCATTCCAGCCAGTCTCCGTTCTACTTTATTGCGTGATGCATTAACACAAAACCTTACTTTGGCTACTTAATCAATTTTTTTTTAAAACCTTGTTTTAGATGTTCAGCACTTAGTATTATGTAACACTAGCTGTTGCCCGCGACTTCGTTTGCGTAGAATATGATGCCTATTTTATCTCATGGGCCATTTAATAGATATAAAAGCCTATCACCTAAGTTACCCGATACCTTACCTGTATACTAAATTTCATTAAAATCCGTTCAGTTGTTTCAGTGTGATTTGTTTTATGGCATAAGCCGGTAAACGAGCAGACGGATCACCTGATGGTAAGCATTTGTCGTCGCCCAGGGACACCTAGAACACCAGAGGCGTTACAAGTGCCTTACCGGCTGTTTGGGGATTAGGAGTCTTTGACGATCGTTGGGGATTCAGGGATTGGAGAGATTGGGGAAGGGGAGGGTAATTGTGCCTCCGGTGACCTCAATCACACGACGAAACACATCGCAAGCGTTGCTTCACGTCGGTTTTCTGTGAGGAAGTGGTATCACTCCGGTCGAGGCGGTCCATTCGTGCCGAAGCATGGCTCTCCCACACTTAAGATTGACACAAACATTTAAACAAAGAAACTTTCATATCTATTATATTAAGGTGCTCCCTCACTGGGAGCATTTACGTGTAATGTAACATTCTAGATTCGACGAGTGATTCCGTGTGATAAATCTTGTTATGCTAAGCTGTGTATTGTTTCAAAAAATAAACATTTGTTCCGCCCTACAATTCACTACAAAACATTATCCTTCTCTTCATACTCATTGATTTTAATCATTATCATGATCAACCACTCAACCAATAAAGGCCACCTAAAAAGTCATATAAATATAATCAAATCACACGTTCAATAAAATCCTCTACGACTTAATTAAAAGTCATTCAGTTTGGTTAATAAACCAATTAGTAGTTCACAACTTAACGGAAATTACTCCAGTGGGATTCAGAACTGAAAATGTCCAATTCCCGGGGTTTTCCGGGATCTCAGTGAAAACTTTAGTTCGCATCTCTTTGTAGAGTAGTTTTATAACTATTATTATAGTTGATCTACATCCCATGGAAGTTCATTGTTGATCTATAAGTCTTCTCTAAATAAGAGCTCATACTTTATTTATTTAAGGGCTACCAACAAAGCATACACCTAATACATAATAGGTTTTTTAACATATTTTAACACTGCATAGTGTAGCTTAATTAAAGCCTGCCACTACATGCATTAATCTGGCAAACACCAAGCGGTCACCGGTGACCGCGACCTATTGTTCTTTAATTGTGTCTATAAAACCGGTACTCGACGAGTTAAAAAAGAACAGGATATGACAGCAGAGTTCGCTTAATTATTATGTTTTCGGCTTACTCACGTAGTAATTTGACGAGGAACTCGACTAGTTTCAAGCCATGCTAGAGGCTCATATTCTCTACTCGTACTACACTTAGTACGTAGTACTAGGTAGTAGTAGTAGTAGAGGCTACTCGTAGTAGCAGCGCGACAGTCGCCGCGTCGCGGGTCGCGAAATGCTGCTCATGAATATGAGCCTCTAGCATGGCTTGAAACTAGTCGAGTTCCTCGTCAAATTACTACGTGAGTAAGCCGAAATATAACATAATAATTTATTTAGTATGCCTCACGAAAGTTACAATACAAATACAGAGTTCGCTTATCAAAAAAAGACATCTTAATAATACTTGTTCATTCACAATTGTTTAAATGTTAATTTTACTTCGACCAGCTAGGTGAATTAAATTAGTATATCATAACATGACGTCACGCCTTTTATCCCCGAAGAGGTAGGCAGAGGTGTACATTATGCCACTGTACAATGTAACCACGGAATATAGATTGTATTCTATATTCCGTGAATGTAACACTCACTTTTCACTATTTATGTTATGAGTCCCATATAATAGGGGGTGAGCTTACTGCCACATACCAGGCACAATTCCAGACTCCGTGCTTTGCCCGACTCGGGAATCGAACCCGAGACCCCTTGCCCGGTAGTCGTACTTGCGACCACTCGGCCAACGAGGCAGTAAATTAGTAGATCTCAAATTCAAATTCATTTATTGATTGTTACATATTAACAATAGATGTTACATTACAATAATAGTACCTATAAGGTGTACAATGGTTTATCTCACGAAAGTTATAATATAAAGTATGTGAGTGTTGTCATGTTCTAATTGTCCGCCATGTACAATTCTTATCTCTAATTGAGTGGATTTAATTAAAACCTTCAACCGGTTTCGACATAAACTCATGACATTGTTCTCACATTCATGTTGTTGTATGTTTTAGTAAAAATATGTGGTACCAGGGTACCAAAATTAAAAATCTAATTAGTCCGTCAGTTAGATAGAAAAAATATTAGACACGTATTTTTTATTTTCAAGTATTAAGTTGCAATACTTAGATAAAATGGCGCTAAGTTTAGGGGTGGGAGGTCGTTACGTCATAACGTGCTACAAATTGTGGCACGCTGTGACGTCACACGATATTTCAAATTAATATATCGTCGAAAGTATTTAATGTGTGTATTTGTGAGAAAAGAAAAAATACGTGTCTAAAGTTTTAAATTAATGTACCAGACGGACATTAAAATAAAATTTAGGATCAACTACCCTATTACGCGAGCAAGCTGAAAAACATAGTTATTAATGTTGGTCATCTACATTTAATTTTTATCATTATGATAATTTCATACATAACCTCGCGCCTTTCTCCCATGGGGGTAGGCAGAGACTATGGAACGCCAATTACTTCGATTCCTACATACCTCTTTCGCTTCATCAACAGTCATCAATTTTTTCATCCAGGTGTAATCGGCGCTAGTTTACAAAATAAATGGATAAATCTTAAAAGTAAAAAACAAATGAATCACCACATAGTTCTTACATAATTAGGCAAACAGCTTTTAATTATTAACACGATATTAGCTTAAGTAGATAAACAATTAGAACAAACAATCTACTTGAACCTTACAAATATTTGTTTTATAAACCTTTAGTGGAACATTCTTTAATTAAACTGGTTTTTTATTGATTGGTATTGCACCCTTTAAACTACGAAGGGATTCGCAGAAGTGTTAGTTTTACGGAATTTAATCGATAAGTTTTTTTTGCCCCACAATAGGATTTTCTGCTATTGGGCCTGCCGCGACGTCTACTGACGTTGAGTGGGTTCCACTCAGTAGTAAGTTTTGCCCACTTCTCGACGGCAGACATGATCAGCCCAGTTCCACTTCAAGCCCGCGGCTTTATGGCTAACGTCAACGATTTTAGTTGTGGAGCGCAGCGTGGTGTTCCTAATTCTAATAATGGCGGGACGAATTAGACATCTATGACAAGGATTGGCCGCAAAAAACTTTACATAGAGAGGAGTGGAAGGAGGGTAGGGAGGCCTTTGCCATGCAGTGGGACGATCATGGCTGAAAATAAAATAATATATAACTAGGATATTCTCCTGTGTCGTGGGTGCGTTTACAAACAAAAAATTTCACATACATAGAGGTACTGACATTGACCCCGTAACAACAATATGTGGATCACACAAAGAGTTGTTCCGTGCAAGAATCGAACCCGCGACATGTTGCGTGGCAGCCGCTTGCCCAGCCACCGCGCCAATCGTGCAGTAAAACCCGACTGGCAGAAAAAAAATCAATCCTTCTGTTTGCATATAGGTATGTATATTTGCGTGAGCACAATGCATGTGTGCGTGGACTGCGCTCCCGCACAACTATTACTCACAAATAAATCAGTGTGTTACGAGCAGCGAGTCGTTTCACTTGTCTCCGCGCTTCACCCGCACATACCTACACAACAGTGGCGGTGACATGCTGTGTTTATTACACTTTCACACAAAAACTACTGAATGGATTTAGATAAAACTTTGCAGAGACACAGATTATAATGTGTGGAATGACATAGGCTACTTTTTATCTGTGTAGGTAATGCAGGCAAAGTCGCTGGCAGATGCTTGTTTAATCGGTTTGTTAGCCCAGTTGTAAGCATGCCTGTACATTAAGAGCCGTCGAGTTCGACTTATGATCTGGAAAACTACATAAATAACTCAGTTTCACCCACAATTAGCTGCAACTCATTATATTGTTACTTTATTAGCGAAAGGCAAGTAGGTATAACATTTGTACCATAAGTTTGCTTGTCCGATAATAACCACCAAAGACTATGTTTAGGTAATAGGGTAGATGCCTAATTATTATTTTAATGTCCGTCTGGTAGATTATTTTAAATCATTAGACACGTATTTTTTATTTTCTTACAGAAACGAATACTTTCGACGATATATTGATTTGAAATGTCGCGTGACGTCACTTCTATGTACATTTTATACGTAGAAATGACTTTTTAGCCCGTACTTTTATTATACGACAAAATAAAAAAATACGTGCCTAATATTTTTTCATTGCCTAACTTACGGACTAATTAGATTTTTAATTTTCATACCCTGTCATCGTCCCAATTGTAATTCAATTCAAGAAAAACCATTTACAATGCCTCTGTCGTCACGTTCGATGTTACATTTTTGACAAGAAACTCCTCCGATAAATTGAATAGTCAGCGTATAACAGGCTGATCGCGAATAAGCTAGCTCATATATTATTCATAGCATGATATATAAGTTTGCAAAACTTCGCCTTGCAGCCATAATCTAGGCAGTGGTTCTCAAACTGTTAAGGGATCATTTGATAGCTCACGTGTGAGACGGGACATAAAGTTGTTTTGAGTCAGCAACAGCTTAAAAATTAGAAAGGAAGTTAAAGTGGACACGAATGAGCTCAAAGAGATTTTCCTAATTTGGCCTCATAAAGTATTCTAAAACAATTATTTTGAATATACCTTTAGATTTAAATGATTGGTTGACTGAGCAATTGTAAAAAAGATCTCGTTTTTGACTTCAGTACTAGGTACCCAAAAACCGGGAACCTGGCCCAATAAGGAAGGGGGGGGGGCTTCCTTCCTCAATCTCCCCAATCCCTGAATTTTCAACAAATCTTAACTTCCTAATCCCGAAAAGGCCGGTAACGCACTTGTAACGCCTCTGGTGTTCCAAGTGTCAATGGGCGGCGCCGATTTTTTACTATCAGTTTGATCCATCTGCTCGTTTACAGACTTAATCCATAAAAAAACCAATTACAATTGCATACGGAATTGCCTAAGCTATCCAAGATTATCTTTTCATGTTTCTTTAAAAGCATTCACAATTTCACGTGGTCACTGTTAGATTGCACCATAATTTTTGAGGACCTATTCTCAGTTGGTCTGCAACGCATTTATGACCTTCTGGTGTTATAAGTGTACTTAAGCTATTTGTTTATCAGTGTGCGCGGTATTGCTACCGAACAGTAGTATAAAAAAGCTTGACAACCACTGTACTGATTCACAGCTCCTGTAATAATGCGAATGTGTTCTGAACAGTCTGTGTGTATGTAGCCTTATCTTGTCTTTTTGTAAAAATGAAGGATTTAAGTATTTTTTTATTGTGATAATGCTCTATTGATATCTATAAAGTTAGGCTTCTTTAGGAATTTGTGGATTGGAAATGATTTAGATTAGAAGGAATTAGGTTTATTTTTGTTTGTTTTTCAGTTCTAGTATGGGTAATTTTATTGATGTATTTGTTTTATGCAGATTGTGGTAAACAAGCTTATGAGCTTCAGTTTCTATAACTGGTTTTTATTATTGGATTAGGATTTTGTGTTTCTCTATTTGTTACCGTAAACTATAACTACTTATTTGTATATTATAAGTTTTATGTTTTATGTTACTTTTTCTAGAAAAATGATCGTCGGTGTACTTATTGCCTTTTATATCATTTTGTAATATTAAATCAAATCCTGCCTCACTAATTCGCTTTGAGCAAGCAGGAGATTAATGCTTAAACCTTCTCTGTAAGAGAAGAGGTCTTTGCTTCATAGTGGTCACTTTGTGGCTTTGTGGGCACCTATAGGCTGTTGATGATGGTGATGATAATGATGAAATCAAATTTCAACGACAAAAGGGAAAAATAAAACCAAAAGCATGTATGAAGACGTGTAAAGATTTTTATTTTTATCGGGAATAACACTAAGACAATTTTAAAACCATTTTGAGAAAACCACAAGGCACTGTAAATTCTTGTTTAAGACGTGATCTTATTACGGAACCACACGTACAAATCTTTTAACTCCTCTATATACCGCGGTTATGTATAGTAAAGTACTGTCAATCGTAAATGGAACACATGTGGATTTTATATGCATCTACACTGCAAATCAAACTACACTAACCCACCAAATTACTTCAAGCTACTTCCAACCTAAACTCTTTATCATAAAGTTGAAAATGATTCAAAAATTTTGAGGTTTATAGGGTAGCTTGATGTGATTTCACGTGTATTTCAAGCAGTTTACGATGCTATTACAGACTGATAATATATCTAGAACATTTCCAATCATACTTGATACTTGAAGTTCTTAAATATGCTAGTACCGTACAAGCACTGAATAGTCTTGGTACTCGTATAATATTTTACGATTCTGAATATTATTATAGCATTTTTAGAGTCCAGATTTCCTTGTAAATCTGATTTAGGTCGTGGTAAATCTTGCTAGATAGATGAGTGGTTTCTGATGCGACTGCTGAGCGTAGGGTACCTACCTACCTATCATATTTTGACCATTTTGAAATTGTACTTTACTTGTCTGTGACTGCCTCGTTGGCCGAGTGATCGCAATCGCAACTGCCGGGCATGGGGTCTCGGGTTCGATTACCGGGTCGGCCAAATTATTACTGGGTTTTAAAAAAATCACGTAAGTAGCACGGTGGCTGGAATTGTGCCCGTTATATGGCAACAGGTTCACCCCCTATTACATGGGAGTCATAACATAAATAGTGAAAAGTCGGTGTTACATTGTACAGTGGCATTAAGTGCCGTAATGTACACCTCTGCCTACCCCTTCGGGGATAAACGGCATTGTGGTAATATTCGCCGCTAGTTATTTTTGTAGGTATATCACCAGATGGCACCAGTGTAGCCTAAGGTCCTATTTGTTCAATTGAGCTTCTAGTAAATTTTTAATAGTTACAATATTTGGACTAACAGGCCTCACGCTACTACAATGCCATCTGGTGAGTCACCAGTGGTGAGCATATTTCTTTTTCTATATCTTGTGTACTGATGTCATAATTTTTTCTTTATTTTGCAGATTTAAAGAACAAGAAGACGGTGGTGTATGCAGTGGGTTTTATGGATAGTTCAGCATTCCCATTTTCACAGGCGATCGGTACTTCATACGCTAAGCGAGGGTACAATGTGTTTGTTTCAGAAACACTGGCTTTCCTCACTTATATTTATCCGAAGTGAGTTATTTAACATTTTTTTTCCTTTTTCATTTCTAGCTAGCTACCCATACACGGAATTGTCTTTCTTTGTACTCCAAATTATATGTAGAATGTTTCAATAAGATGGGTTGAGTATCTATATTAGGGAAGTAACGGAAGTAGTTTTATCGGAACCGAAGGCGGAATTGGAGTTTTTAAATTTGCTTTATCGGAATCGGAACCGGAGTCGGAATCGGAATCGGAGGTAAGGCCAGAAGTGGTGATATGAGAAGAATTATTATTTAACTCGTCAAGTACCGTATTTATAGACACAATTAAAGAACAATAGGTTGCGGTCACCGGTGACCGCTCGGTGTTTGACAGTTTAACCTCTTATATGAGACACAATAGAAAACACATTGTGTCTCGCGGGTATCTACGTCCCGGGATACCAGGGGTTAAGGACAAACTCAACATTATGCAGTATTTTTTAATTCATTTCAGAAATTAATTTGTCAAATTCTATAGATTTAGGATTAGAAGTGCACCATTTTATATTCTTCGCCAAAGTTTCTTTCAAAGTCATTTGTTTTCTAGCATCCTGAAAGGGGGTCGAAGTCGAAGGCTGTTCAGTATTTATTTTTAGTTTCTAACTTTATTAATTCTTCATATTCAATGACATAAATAGACTTCAAATGGCTTTTTAAAGACGTTGTCGTACCTCCCTTTCTTGAATACGTCTTCATACACAGTTTACACTTTGTCGAATCTGAATTAACTGCAATGAAGTAGTTCCAAATACAACTTGATTTTGGTTTCATTGTCAAAATTTAAAACATATCTACATAAATTAACCATGGGTCGGGGGGAGGGGCAATTCCCCGAGCGACGTGTATGAACCTGTCGCAGCACTCATAACAATCGGTGGGCACAGGCCGCCGCGCCCGTCCGGTATCTATGCTTCGACCTCCGATTAAAAAGTGTCGGAACCGAAGTCGGAACCGAAAGTATAATAATAATCGGAAGTTCCGAATTAACGGAACCGGAATCGAAGCTCCGTAACATCCCTAATCTATATAACGCGTCAAAGTCAAAGTCAAAGTCAAAATCATTTATTTCAATTAGACCAGGATGGCACTTTTGAACGTCAAACAACAAAAAAATATAAGTGAAGCTAGTTGCTCATTCCAAGGCGTAGATTCCTATGGAGAAGAACGAGCAAGAAACTCCATAGGTTACTCTTTTTCAATCAGGTTTACAATACAATTCTCTAGTTACATAGTTTTATTGGTTCGATTATGTGAGAACAATGCAACACCCAAATCCAGTCAGAAAGACTGAAAAAGAAAATAACCTTGAGGATAATAAAATAAAAAGATACAGTCTGGAGCTGACCAGTTCCAATCGACAGTGCCCGTTCACGAACATTTTGCGAACCCTAGCACCGCCCAACTCAACCATTTTGTAGGGAATCGAGCGATCCAATGCACGTGCCCACCGCCAACGAGATCTTTGAGTGAGCATGACAACTCCAAGCTGACATAAATGCAATCTACTAGTCTAATTTGATTTAATTAATTACAGGGCTCTCACATTTACAATAACTTGTGCAACGTTTTAAACTATACAAATATTTAAGCAACATGATTATATTATTACACAAATAGAATTCATTGAACATCACTGTGTTTCATGTATTATCCTGCGGAGCCGGACCAGCCTGCCTCCAAGCACTTTTATCCTCTATATAATCATTTAGTTTGTAGTATGCTTGTCTACATAACGTTTTTTTAATACATAGTTTAAATTTTCTTTCATTTAGATGCAGTATTTCTTGGGGGATTTTGTTATAACATTTAACACCGAATCCCATGAACGACTTATGTACTTTTGACAATCTAAAAAATGGCGGACTTAATCTATTCTTATGTCTAGTTTCATAATTGTGTCTGTCAGACACTTTACTAAATAAATGTAGGTTTTTCCTAACATACATAATATTTTCATAAATAAATTGACATGGAACGGTCATAATATTGATCTCCCTAAACCTTTCTCTGAGAGATTCGCGACGACCTAGGTTGTATATAGCTCTGACGGCGCGCTTCTGCAAGACAAAGATAGACTCAATGTCAGCAGCGTGTCCCCACAGCAGAATGCCATACGACATGATGCTATGGAAGCAACCGAAGTACACCAGCCTTGCCGTGTCTATATCGGTTAACTGACGGATTTTCCAGACAGCATAAGCTGCAGAGCTTAATCGTCCCGCTAGAGATGTAATATGAGGACCCCATTGTAATTTGTCGTCTACAGTAATTCCCAGGAAAATAGTTTCTTTTACAAATTCCAATTTCTCATTATTCAGTAATATGTCAGAGGTAACAAACAAATAAACAAACTTATTTTTGCATTCATTTATATTATTGACTGGGATAAATATCATACTGATCGGGTTGAAATATGGAACAGGAGTACATTAGGTATGGTCTGGGGAATAACACATAAACAAAAGGTAGTAGATTATACAACTAAACTAAATAGTTCTAGTTTGTGAAGGTAGGTACCACTGTGCACATTAGCATTAACTTTTGTAGCTCAAGTTATACTTTTATAATACAGTTGGCAACTTGGCAGTCACAATGAATGATATTAAAATAGTTTATAAAGGTCAGTAATCTTACTAGTAGGTAAGAAAAATGGACGTCCAATATGTGAAACATGAATAAAAAAATCTCAATAATGTAATGTTTCAAATTTCTATTTTTGGGCAAATATCAAGCTTGATGATAGACTACATTCATATTAAACTGTCAAACCCCGCTTTCACCGGTGACCGCAACCTATTGTTCTTAAATTGTGTCTATAATGACGGTTCTCAATGAGTTAAAATCTAAAGCACATTATGTCAGCGAATTGCTTGAAACGTAGTTATTCTTAGAATATTCTTTAACCCACGAATCGTATCTCAAAAAGCCATTTTCCAAACTTCCTTGAAATTCCGATAACTTGGTTCAGAATCCAAAACGCAAATCGCCATGACAATTCATCCTTCCGCGTAAGATCTCTGATTTCCTAGAACTATATACTCAAAATTTATGGCCCAAAGGTCATCGGTTCGAGTCCCTGCTCGTAAATTTTGCCGGAGTTTGGCACCGGCCAAAGATATTGAGATCGCTGTAAGTTGATAGGGGTGTGCCCTTAAGACTAGATTACGTATTTGTGTCTTTGGTAGGGCATATTTTTTGTGTGGGGTAAACCTTATCTAAGGAAATAAATTAGTGAATATTATGTGAGGTTGTCGGATTAACTTACTCCGTCACGTTGGAGACCCGGTAACCATACTCATACGGTGAAAAACAACGCAAGAGCTCACGTCGTCGGGGATGGCGAGACGATCTCCGGCTACTGTAAGCAAGGGCCTGCGGATGGTGAGCATGGGTTCGCCGCCCGACCAGAACCAGACCCGAACGTATGGCGCGTTACGTTCCAGTTGAAGAACAATGTAATAAGTAGTTAGCCATAGTTAAGTATGTTCTGTCTCTCTCAAATATAGCTCTCTCTGTCTGTCATCTGTCATGGCGGTTGTTAAGGTTAAAAACTGTGTGTGCTGCGTACAAATAAATAGATTTCAAACGTATTTTGGTCTACTTTTCATTTATATTCATCTGGTTATGGGCCCAGTGTCAATAACTAGCTTGGATTAATAAATGTAAGCCATAATATCGTTGATTACTGTGAGTCGGAAAGTAAATTACCGGTGCCACGCGTGTGGAGGTTATACCGGGAAGGCGGGAAGGAGACTTGCTCGAAATACATCTCGAGCGAGGCAGTTCTGACTACAGGAAGGAGAAATTTATTCGAATCAAGATGGAATCCATGGGTCAAAGTGGTCACAACATCATTAAGTTGGAGGGTTCCAAGAACTGGAACATATGGAAGTTCCAAACGTCCGTGTTGCTGCGAGGTCAAGGTCTATACGGAATAGTGAACGGGACGAAAGTAAAACCCGAGGAAGATGCACAGGTACATATTTGGGATACGCAAGACGCAAAAGCCCAATCATTACTGGTGACAAGGATGAGTGAAGAAGTCATGTTGCACGTAATCTCGTGTAATACATCGGCGGCTATGTGGAGCAAGTTACATAGTGTCTACGAACAGAGGTCGGAAACTAGTATACACATAGTGCAGCAGCGGTTCTTCCAATTTAAATATGAAGAAGGTACAGATATGTCGGTGTTTCTGTCAAAAGTGCAAGAACTGCAAAATCAACTGAAGCAGCTCGGTGAACCCATAACTGATAAGTTTGTCATCACTAAAGTACTGATGTCATTGCCAGAAAATTATAAGCATTTCGTCTCGGCGTGGGAGTCTGCTCCAGATGACAAGCAGACATACGACAATCTAGTGGCTAGATTGTTAGTGGAAGAAGAGAGGATTAAAGAAAAGGATGGAAGTACACAATCGTCCTCTGCATTTTTAACTCGTAAATCCAATAAGAAAGTGAGGTGTTTCAAGTGTGGGAAACTGGGACATTTTCAAAGTGAATGCAAGAACAGTAACGAAAACCGTAATTATAAGGACAAAGTGATGAAGTGTTATTATTGCAACAAACCGGGACATGTAAAAAAAGAATGCCGTTTCAAGAAAGAAAAAGAAAGTAATGCATTCGTAGTACACAGTGCATCTGGTGAGCATTTCAAGAACACGAAGTTTTTAGTAGACTCCGGTGCCAGCGAACATATGAGTAATGACATTAACTTATTTACTTCGTACTCTGTGGCGCAAAACAAAAAGGTAACTGTGGGAAACGGAACGCAAATTAAAGTACATGGTTACGGACAGGTGGCGCTTGAAGTTTGGAATGGTAGGAAATGGATCGAGTCTACCATAGACAACGTATTGCATGTGCCAGATTTAGAAACTAACCTCTTTTCTGTCAATTGTGCTACTAAAAAAGGTTATGTCATGATAACCGAGGAGAAGATGTGTAAATTTTATAAACAAAATAAACTGATGGCCATTGCCGAGAGGTG